CTCCGTCCTCCCTGCTCCCCCGGCTCCCTGCCCCCCTGTTCCCTCTTCCCTGCCCCCTGTTCCCTCTTCCCACTCCCCAGCCACAGAAACCTGTCCCCACTGGCACTCTGTCCCCTGCCGAAGCACTCACTAGCACCCTTCCCCAGTATTATGTTCCCTGCTCCCACCAACACAGTTGGGGCCACATTAGTGAAGCCTGGGGGGTGGTGGGAGGGGCACATTGGAGGAGGGCTTTTTTGCATCTCACTTGTGTGGCCCCAACTGACTTTTCTGTGGGTCAGACACCCCTGACTCAAAACAGGTTCCCTGCCCTTCTCCGAAATAAAGGCAATGCAGCAACTTTTTGTGTTTGATATAGTATTTTATTTAAAAATGAAGCCTGGCCAACAAACCCCCAAAGGGGGTCAAGCCCCCATCTGGCCACAGCATCATAACACTCCTGCACTCCCCTTTCCCTCAGACCCTACATCTGAGCCTCTCATACAGTGAAACCCCTTGCCCTGAGCCCCTCACATACCCCAACCCAAATTCCTGAACCCTCACATCTAGAAGTCTGTGGCTTGCTTAGTACCCTAACCCTACATCTGACCCCAACACTGCCCGGCCTGGAGCCAGCGTTCCCTTTTCCACCTCCTCCTGCATCCATATTTCCTCCCAGAGCTTGCACCTCTCACCTCTTCCCACACCCAAATCCCTCATTTCCACCCCAGAGCCTACACATCCTGTCTCAACCTAGTGAGGGTATGGCTAGACAGCAGGAGTTTTTCAGGATTCCAGAGACATCCCAGAAAAACTCTTCTGCATCCAGGGATGCATTTGTTCTTCTGCTTCTTTTAGTGGAAGAGCAAACATGATCTTTCAGTCACCCTTATATTCCTCTTTCCACAAGGAATAAGGGGGCTTACAAAAGAAGGGGTTTTTCTGACATTTGGTCCACTCTAGACAGGCCAAGTGTTGGAAAAACCTCTTCCTACAGAAGAATTGGGAAAAAAAAGCAGCAGTATAAGGGTTGGGGATAGCAAGTGATGGAGAGGAGAAGAACAGAGAGGGCAGGGTTTCAAGGAAGGAGAGGGGCGGTAGATCTTGGCTTGTTCGGTCATTGAAAAAGTGATCTTGGGTATAAAAAGATTGGAGACCACTGAACTACACTAACTTTTTCCACTTTGAAAATAAATATTAGGAAAGTTTTTAGGCTGTAAGTCAGCACCACCGCACTGTCAACTGGGGATGTAAGCAACTAGTTGAGTGACTACTCAACTACTTGCTTTCCCTCTCTCCTGCTGCCTCTGTATCAGAGACAGTAAAGGGGGAGGGCAGAACCCCAGCAGTCACAGAGTCAGTGTGAGCCAGGACTACTCAGTCTCGGCTTGTGCTGGCCCCAGGAGTTAATCCCACTACACTTAAATGCAGAGCTGCAGCAGTGGTTGCAAACACCCCACCCCCCTTTATGAACTAATCGAGTAGTCGATGGAAATTCCATCGACTACTTGATTAGCCAGTTAACCATTACTTAACAGCCCTACTATAAACCAGTGACTGCCCACAGACCAATTTGAAAATCTATGCATCAGCTGAAATTTCAATCTCTTACAACAACACTCTGAATCATAACCTATATCTGCATACCATACAACTGTATGAGGAAGGGATACGGAGACAAAAGAATTATTTTTCTTCTGTATAGTGAAAGTAGCAGACAAATGTAACAAATACTTGTGCTGCAAAAACTATTCCTCTTTACAGATATACAAACTAGACTAGCTGTTACAAAGCACAGAATCAAGTAGTACAAATTACTCCCTTCAACTGAAGTTTAAATGATGCTGTCAGCTTGAAATGATGTTAATTTCAACAAATTAATTAAAAGTGATAGTACCTGCAATGACTGCTCCTTACCAATTTATCTGGTTTCAGAACCATATTTCTGGTTTCTAAAAATTATTTTCTGTGCCCTCATGCTATACAAAGACACAGAGAAAATAAGGGGGAAAATAACTTCAGATGAAACAACAAAACCTGTATTAGGTAAACTTTTATCAATTAGATAAAGTAAGGAAAAATAAAAAAATGGTTCTTTTTCCTCAATCTTTAAAGAATTAGGTAAATATGTATCAGGAAAAAGAGATTTACACTGTCCTTTTTACAGACCATATTCACTAAACACTTACATCATTTGCCCAGGATCCTGCAATAAGGAAATTACCAGGCAAGGTTAGTGGACTGAAGGCTAAACAACCAATGCTGTCATCAGGTGGAGATGTTACTTCAATATCCTGCAAAGGCCAAAGAAAGTTACAAATAAATATCCATACGTCTTAAAACTTCTCAGTGTGTCTTTTAGTCATAGATCAAGTTAATAAAGTACGGAGTTTCTCAAACTGTAGTACATGAAAAAATATGAAAATGCCAACCATAATGGACTATAAGTGGTGCTTTATTCTGACAAATATTGTTATAATTAATAAGGTAATAAGTTTACTGCTGATATAAATAAGGAAGAAATCGCTTGCATGTATAACAGTGAGACTGCTAGAGTACAATTTATTTCTCTTGTAATTGGCTCTTATTCTTTGCCTTTAACTTCAAGGTCTTTTGAATTCATGTTGGGCAAGTTTCCAAAAGACCATACCTTTATAACACATATAATCATCGGAAGTGTATACACAATCACGTTAACTGTACACATAACCATGTATCAAACTTACCTGAAAATCAGGCAAAAGTTCATTGAATAACTATCACATTAGATTGCTAGAATCCTCTAATGCAATGGTTCTCAACAGAGGTCCGGGGCTCCCTATGAAGCCGTGAGCAGGTTTCAGGGGGTCCACAAAGAAGGGGCAGCAGGTGCTGGAGCCAAGAAAGAAGGCTGAAGTCCCAATATACGGAGCTGAATCCTGGGGGCCAAGCTGCGCCATGTAGAATTGAAGCCTGAACAACTGGGGGCCCCAGTCAGTTGCCCAGCTTGCTACCTCCTAACTCTGGTCCTGGTTTTTATATGCAGAAAAACAGTTGTTGTGGCAGAAATGGGCCAGGATTTTGTATAGCATATTGGGTCACTCTCAGGAAAAAAAAAAAAAAAAAGGGTTGAGAACTAGGGATGTGAATGTTTAACCAGTAAGCATTACACTTACCAGGTGACGTTTACAGGTTATAGTTAACAGGCGACCCGGCTGGGCCGGAACACCCTGTTGCGCCACAGGTGGTGTGTGTGTGTGTGGGGGGGGTAGCCTGCATGTCCAGCAGGGGAGAGGGCGTCCCCTTGCCTGCTCCTATTTAAGTAGTTGATCAGTTAAACATAAGGTTTAATTAGTTAACTGATTAAACAGGATTTTACATACCTATTGAGAACCCCTTCTCTAATGAACACAAAAATCAACAACCGTACCATTTCATGAATCATGGCAGAAGTGTGTTTGTGAACTATTTTTCAATGCTACTATCGGCAGCATATTTTCCTGCGAACGTACAGGGAATTAACACCATTCCTCATTATAAGGCATGCTAGTCAAGACTGTTATACTGACTATGCCCATGCCTCACACATAATCCATAGCACTGTATGTGTGTTAAATTCAATTGCAAATCATGTTAGGTTATAAATAGGTTTGACAGTCTGTGCCTAAGTCTTCCTAGTGAAATAGAAAGGGGGATATTCATAACAGCATTTGCTCACAAACCCTGACATTTTTCAATAGTTAGGAAGAATGAGTTTTGGGGGAAAAAAGAAAAATAAATATATGCTAATTTTCACTCCTGATTCACAGAAAAGATCACCTGACACAGACTGTTTACATGTAGCTTAAGACAAGTACCTTCATGGGATTGTGATTATCTGTTGCTGTACTTCCAAACATGCTGGTTCCACCAGTTCCAAACCCTGAGGTTGATCCAAACAAACTCATCTTGGCCCTTCAAAGAAGAATGCCTATTAAAGACGTAGACCTTTACTTAGGGATACAGGAAGTACAGTACTAGATTAGAGTGGTCCACCAACTTTAGTATCCTGACTCTGACAACAGCGAGCACCAGATGCTCTACAGAAAGGTGGAAAAACCCATAGGGGACAATTATAAAATAACTTTAGCATTCCTGTCCCTGTTAGAGGTTTAGCATTTTATTGCAAGTTTCTACAATACTTATTCAATTTAATTGCTGGCCTTGGCCTCAGCCTCACTTTCCTCATAATATCTGAGTTTGGAGGGAAAACAATTCCTTCAATTAACAATAAACAATGCGAGTAAGATATGATGTGGTTTTGCCTCTGCACAAACCCAGAAGGATTTGGAAAACATTGCTGAATTTCAGTCTCTCTCTCTTTTTTTAAAACAGTATTTTTGATTATGCGACTTCCCAAACACTCACTGGAAATGAAGAGAAGAAATTTCATAAATAAAAGCTACTTAGGGAAGAGTACACAGTGAAAGGGAGGAGGACCTATTCAGTAAAACCATGTGCTGAGGGGCTGGATGATAAACACTTCAGGGCTCCTTCAATGACGTGTGCACAAAGCAAGAGATGGGGAGGTATGAAATTGTTTTAATTAGGGATATTAAATATCGGTTAATTGAATAATCGATTAACCTCATGAACTCTTATTGGTTACTCGACTATTTTATAGTCCCTGGGTGTAGGACCGGCAGCTGGTGCGCTTTGGCCCCACTCCCAAGGAGCCCCCTGCCACTCCGTGACGCTGCCTTGGACACCTTACTAGGGTGTTCAAGTAACAGAGGCAGCAGCATGGGGTGACGTTCGGGAGTTGGTTCATGAGGGGAGCCAGTTTAAAAAACATCTCCTCTTGCAGAATGGCTGCCTGTCAGCCTACGCTTTCTCTGGGACAGGGGCTGCTGCCACCTCTGTATAAGGCGGATCTGAACTCCCAGACCAGGCGCAAGCTGGAACTGAGTCAGGCTGCCTGCTTGCCTGGCTCCTAAAACACTTTAAATGCAGAGCTACAGTGGGAGTAGGTCTTGGACCCAGCACAAGCCAGGACTGAGCAGGGCTCCTGGTCAGCCTGCTAAAAAATTTACTGCAGGGGGGAATGTGTGCAGTCTATAGAATTAGCCAATAAGCTTTTGCTTATTGATTGACTATACTATTACCACCCCAATTTCAATTAGTTTATACATCTGTGGAGCAGTTTAGATTGAGGTAGAGAGTATTAGGAGGAAAATCTGGGGAATTTGGGTGGAGAGGAAGGGACAGGCTGCTGGGTGCAATGGAGCTAGTTGCTGGCTGACAGGAGACAGCTGGGGCAGTTGGTGAGGAACTGGGCCAGTCACTGGCTGACAGGAGGGAGATGGACCAGTGACTGAGGGACCGGGTCAGTCACTCACAGACAAAAGTGAAAGTAAGCTGGTGCACCCCAGTGCGGCGCTCCAGTAAGACTGGCCAGCTGGGGGCAGAGCTCTGAATGTTGTCAATACTTTGGGCTCTGCGGCCACAGTGCACCAGGCTTCAGCTCCAGTGCGGGGGCAGCTGGGTAATGGAATCTCCGTCTCTCTGGACAACTCATGGGATCTATCAGCCAGGCAAGTGCAGTCCATCCCATGCCACCCAATCAGGTTCTTCGGGTGTGATGAGCCACCTGGTGCAACTGGTAGAGAGGCTCCCAGCGGGATGCGGGTCGGCCTGAATAAGCCGAATGGGCCCTTACTTGCGCTACACCTGGGTCCTGCTGAGGCAGACTAGCAGTCTCTCCATAGTGATGGGACCCTGCGTGGCCTTGCAGGACCAGGCGCTGCCACCTCCGAGCCTGGCCTTAGAGGAGCTGCTGAGCCACTGCATACCCCCACTGACTCCCTCTAAGACTCGGGAGAAGGCATCGCCATCGGTTAAGTACTGCAGCATGGAATTGGTGTGCTCCTACAGGGCCCTGGAGTCTGGACTCTGGCAGGAGAAGCTGCTGGTCTGCCTGACTCGGGACTTCAGCACTTCCACAGTAGGGTGTTCCCAGGCGCTGCAGACTTGGGAGTAGCAGCAGGAGTCAGGCACCCTGTTTTGGGTTAAAGACTGGTTCTGCTACCTCAGAAGCCAGAGCCTCTTCCAACCTGGGTTGGCTGGAAAACAGGCTGTGCTTCCTGGTGAAGCTCAGGGGCGACATGATGGAGGCACTGGCGGCATGGCATGCAGAGGGCCGCACCTTAGGGTAAGAGGTGTATCCAGCAGTGAAGCAGCCCTGAGCTCCCTCCACACCACTAAACCCTTGCCCATAGCCCCTCCCCACCATAACCTCCTGCCTTAACTCCTGCATCTCTCCACCCCTGCCTTGATTCCTGCAACCACCAGGATTCCTGCAGCCACCACAATCCACCCACCAGTCACTGAGGAATGGGGGGTAGGGGAGGAGCTGGGCCAGTCGCTGAGGGGATGGGCCAGTCCTGAGAGAGGGGGGGTGGGGAGGAGGAGCTGGGCCAGTGGCTGAGGGATGGGGGAAGAGGAGCTGTGCCAGTC